AATGAAAGAGCTTTTTGTTCATTTTATCAGAATAAATCGTCATATTACTACAATTAGGATTTTTAACTATGTAGTATTATATGTGCCTTATACTTCGCAATTATAAATCTCAGTCCTAAAAATCTACTTAAAATTTTGGTTTTTTCTTTTGCATTTATCAGTTTTCTGGCTAGAAGACATTTTTTCAGGTAATTGGAATAAAAATAGCAGATGAATGAATGTCTCTGCTTTTCACCAGGGAAACTAAATGTGAGGTACATTCCTTATGAATTGCTGGAAAAGGGATATCATTGATAGCAGTATCTTAATATGGCATTGGGGAATTTATAGGAATCAGCTGAATTCCATTACTCTTCATTGTAGGCAAGAATTGGGATCCCTTTTTATGCTACTCTCTTGGGTGAAAACTGTGTTGTAGAAAACTGCATTTTCGCCCTGGCCAGTTTGGCTCAGCGGTTAGAGCATCGGCCTGCGGTCCAGAGAGACCCGGGTTCGGTTCCCGCTAAGGGCATGTACTTCGGTTGCAGTTTGTCCCTGGCCCTGGTTGGTCGTGTGGGTGGCAGCCACTCGATGTGTCCCTTCACGTCGATGTTTCTCTCTCTCTCTCTCTCCCTTCCTCTCTCTCCCTCCCACTCTATCTGTACAAAAAATGGAAAAATATCCTCGAGTGAGGATAAAAAAAAAAAAAAAAGAAAACTGCATTTTCAGCTCCTAGTGGGCTGGGAATCCCCCTTGCCAAAGAACTCTGTTCATGCTTTAGTTTGATTTTCATTTTACTTTATTTTGAAGGTGGTTTTGCCATTATCTGGGAGTTCACAAGTGTTTAGGTAAATTCTCACTGGGAGGTAGGCTTTCCACATTTAGCACATCCATGCCACATATGCCCAATTCATCTGAAATATCATATGATGCCCACTATGTCTGAAATATTGCATGGGACATAGTTATACTAAAATATGTTTTTTTAATCTAAAAGCACATTTAACTGGGCATCCATTATTTTATCTGGCAGACCTACTAGCATAACTATATAACTTAACATTCAAACCAAGACACTTTTGAGAGTGAAATGGGGCACTTTTAATAATTATGCCAAGACAAAAGCATAAATTGGGACTATCTTGGGAAAACTGGAAAGAATGGTCAACCCAATAATAGGGGGTTTTGAAAATATTTTAAATTATTGATTATAGATTTTCATATGCAATCACATTTCTATGTCATTAATATAAATGTAAAGTATTGCTTTATAATATCATATTTAAAATTTTGATTGAGCCCTGGCCGGTTTTGCTCAGTGGTTAGAGCATTGGCCCATGAACCTAAGGGAGTGGGTTCGATTCCCAGTCAAGGGTATGTACCTGGGTTGAAGGTTCAATCCCTGGCCCAGGCTGGGACACATGCAGGGGGCAACCAGTTGATATGTCTCTCTCACATCAATATTTCTCTCTCTCTCTCCCTTCCTCCCTCTCCCTCCCTGCCTCCCTCCCTCTCCTTCCCCTCCAGTCCCCTCTTTCCTTTCCCTAGAAAGCAATGCAAAAGATATCCTCCAGTGAGGATTAATTTTAAAAATTTGTAGATACCCATTTTAAAGAGAAAGTTCTTTTTTTGTGAGTAAAATGACACCAACACTAGTACATGAAATTTTAGTTTAAATTTTTTAAATTATTTCTCCTTTCTTTATATCATTTATGTATATATTTTACCATCAGCAGTTATAACTTAAGAAATTCATGTGTTTTCTGTTTTGTATTCGGCTTAATTCTTCTCTTTTATCCTATTTACTTTTTGTTTGGGATTATTAAATAAATACAGTATTCCACCTTATCTGCAGGAGATATATTCCAAGACTCCCAGTGGATAGTATCTAACCCTGTATATACGGTGCTATTTCCTATACACACATACGTATAATAAAGTTTAATTTATAAATTAGGCACAGTAAGAGATTAACAACAATAAAGAATAATAAAATAGAAAATCATAACAATGTACTATAATAAAAGTTATATGTATGTGGTCAACTTCTCTCAATAACTGATCTGATAACAGAGAACTACTGAGTGACTAATGGTTGGGGAATGATTCACATCTTAGGTGGGATGCACTAGGGCAGTGTGAGATTTCATCATGCTGCTCAGAATAGTACACAACTTAAAACTTATACATTGTTTATGCCTGGAATTTTTCATTTAATATTTCTGTACCAAGATTGTAGATAACTGAAACCACAGGAAGTAAAACTGCAGATAATGAGGGACTATTATGCATATTTAGCCTAACCTTCTTAATTGTATAGCCTTTTATCTTACCTTTCTCAACCTCACTTCATTCTAAAAATGTATCCACAAATATTTAAATACCTGCTACCTGCCAGTATGTTGTTATCATTTTTTTCCTCAGCAGAATGGTCTGCCGAGTGCTGTAGTAAATATGACATGGAATGTAACTTGGTTGTATCCTCAGGGAGCTTCAAGTCTGGACTATGGTTGTCTCCTCACAGCTTTGTATATTTCAGTTGGTCTTTTATCAGTCTTCTTCAGCCTTGTGTCTCTTTTGAAGTACGATTGATTATTAGTATGTCAGGAAGAATAGGTGTACCGTGGTTTTGAATAGTAATTTTGTTGTTGTTTTTGTCTTATTCCAACATTTGTTCTATTAATGCACAGAATTTTATTGGAATTTCATCTAAATGAGATGTCTTCAGGAAATAGCTTATAACTTCTAGATACTTTTTCTGTGTTATAGTTATAGGTTGGAATAAAAGTATATCAAAGCCCAATATACTGAACTGCCTGGAACCTTTGAGCAATGAGTCAACCCAAATAACAGTGTTCCAGGATTAATGTCTGGTATCTCTAAAAAAAAATTTTTCTTTAAAAGTATTTTCTTATTTTGAGTGTCAGCACTTGTTTTATATAATAATGTTAATAATAATATAGTGCAAAGTCATCCCTGTCTCACTCATTCTCTTCATAACCAGTTTTTTTTATTAGTATTTTGTACACTCTTCTAGAGATTGCATGTACAGATCATTATTAATATATATTCTTTTTTCTTTTCACACAAATGGTAACATCATACACAGTTGTGTACTTTGCTTTTATCACATAACTCTGTATTTTAGAGACTATTCCTTATCGGAACATAAAGAGCCTTATTTATTTATTTATTTTTATTTTTTTATTTTCTTTTATTGATTTTAGAGAGGAAATGAGAGGGAGAGATAGAAACATCGACAAGACAGAACATCAGTTGGCCACCTCCAGCATGCCCCCACACTGGGGATCAGGCCCACAACTTGGGCATGTGTCCTGACCAGGAATTGAACCAGAGACCTCTTGGTGTATGGGTCGACGCTCAACCACTGAGCCACGCCAACCAGACCTTATTTATTTTTTATACCTGCATAGTATTCCATGTTATAAGGCTTCTCCTAATCACTTTTTAAAAATATATATATGTTTTTATTGATTTTTTTAGAGGGAAAGGAAGGGAGAGAGAAATAGAAACATCTGTGTGACAGAGAAACATCAATCGGCTGCCTCCAGCACACCCCCTACTGGGGATCAAGCCTGCAACCTGGGCATGTGCCCTGATTGGGAATCAAACTGGGACCTCTCAGTCCATAGGATGATGCTCAATCCACTGAGCCACACTGGCCAGGCTACTAGTCACTTTTTTATTGTTTTCAATCATTTGCTATTCTATGCAGCGCATGATACATAGCTTCATAACACAACCTCATTTTGCATATGTGCCACTCGGTTGGCATGAGTGTATGCCATTCCTAGGAAAGGAATTCCTGGGTCAGAGTACACTCATGAGTACTTGCATGCATGAAAATGTGTTTGTTTTCATTTAGTCTAAAGGTAATACATGTTTGTGCTTTAAAACTTAAAACATTCCAAACATTACCAAAAAGAATTAAGTGAAAAATAAATTCTCTAAGCTCCTACTCCCACTTCCCAGATGTAAGTAACACTTTCTTGTCTACCTTTCTTGTAGTTATCAATTTGTCTATTTTTTTCTTTTTGTATACATAAATGGTTGTATGGTATCCCATTATATGTATATACCATCATTTATCCATTAAGTTCCTTATCGGTAAACATTTAACATATCTCCAGATCTTTTTTTATACTACCAATAAAGCTACAGTAAAAACCCTTATAGATATCTTTGCATACATATGAATGTATTTCTAGCAGACAGATTCCTAGAATCAAGGAATACATTTATTTTAAATTTTGATTAGTTTTGCTGACTGCTCTCCAAAAAGATATTCCATTTGATCCATCCACCACTATATCTTTCCTGGCTATTATCAAACTTTTTAATCTTTGCCAATTTAGTAAGGGCCAAAAAGGAATTTTATTCTTACTTGAATATCTTATATTATGTTTGATTTTGATAAATTGGCCATTTCTGTTTATTTTCTGTATATTACTATTTATGTCCTTCACCTATTTTTCTGATGAGTTGTTCACTTTGTTATGATTTGAAAATATACTCGTCTGCTAGGAAATTGGTCTGTGGTCATGCGTGTTACAAATATTTTTTTCTCTATTTTTCATTTTTTTATCATGTGTGTGGTCTATAAATAAACATATTTGACCCTAAAGGGATGAGGGGGAGGATAGTGAGTGGTGGGAGTGAATTCAGATCAAACTACCAAACCCTTATTAAAAAAACAACAGTATAATTGTGTATGTATACACACACACACACACACACACACACACAGAGAGAGAGAGAGAGAGAGAGAGAGAGAGAGAGAGTATACCTGAAACTAATATGTCAGTTATACCTCAGTTTTTTTAAATGTTCTGCATCAAACTATTTAAAAAAATTTTTTTAAGAAAAACATGATAAATAGTGCTTTTATCTTCTTAGAGGAAAGGAGATCTAAATAAGTAAAAGATTGTACAGTATTTAGTTTGTATGAGGTGTAATAACCATGTTGCTAATACATTTGTTTTTTATATTTTTCCCTCCAGAGGTTTTGTCAGCTATGATTAGTGTGCTGTTGGTGTATATACTTATGGGATTCCTCCTATATGAAGCTGTCCAAAGAACTATCCATATGAAATATGAAATAAATGGAGACATAATGCTCATTACCGCAGCAGTTGGAGTTGCAGTTAACGTAATGTAAGCTCTGTTTTAAACATTTTTTAATAAGCTTTACTTTTGAGAGCAATTCTTAGGTTCACAGCAAAATTGAGGGGAAGGTTTAGAAATTTCCCATATACACACTGCCCCACACATGCACAGCCTCTCCCATTATCAGCATCCCTCCCCAGAGTGGTACATTGTTATAGCTGATGAACCTACACTGAATACATCATAATCACCCATAGTTTACATTAAGGTTCACTCTTGGTGTTAATATGTTATTTGGTTTAGACAAATGTATAATGACATGTATCCACCATTACAGTAGCATACACTTTATATTGTTTTCACATTAATATTCTCAAATACAGTAAACTTAGAGGCTATTATACATGCATTCGTTAATATGCAGTGATATTTTAATATATTTATAAATTCTATAGTACATCAGTTTTTCTTATAAATGTTAATAAAACACTGTTGGATTTGTATATTTCTCATTAGTTTGCTCAGGTATACTGAAGTTTGACTAACAATCAGGAATTTAAGTAGGACAACCTTTTTTAAAAAACATTTTTCTTTATTGATTTGAGAGAGAGGGAGAAACATCGACAAGAGAGAATATCAGTTAGCCACCTCCTGCATGCCCCCCACTGGGGATTGGGCCCACAACCTGGGCATCTGCCATAACTGGGAATTGAACCGGCATCCTCTTGGTGCATGAGTCGATGCTCAACCAGTGAGCCACACCAGCCGGACTTTTTTTTTTTTTAATTTTTATAATTCTTTCATGTTGAATTTTTTTTTTAAACTACCAACTTTTTTCCTAAAAACTGAAAATTTTAAGTTATATACATAAATCATTTGGATCAGGGGTCAACAGACTTTCTGTGAAGGGCTAGATAGTAAATATTTAGGCTTTTAGAGCCATACAGTCTATTTTGCAGCTATCCTGCTGTTATAGAAAAAAAGCAACCACATTCAATATGTAAACAAATGAGCATGACTATGTTCCTATAAAACTTTATTTATAAAAATGGGCTATGGGCCAAATATGGTCTACAGACCATGGTTTGCCAGTCCATGTCTAGTGATTTCTCTTTGTACTTAGAATAAAATCACAAGTTCTTACCATGGCCTTTTTAATAAGATCCTATATACCACTCCAGCTCATCTTCTAGAACTCATTCTCACTTTATTCTACCACAGTGGCTGCCTTGCTTTTTTTAAGCACATAGAATACATTTGCATCTCAGAGGCTTTGCCCTGTTATTCCTTCTGCCTAGAACACTCTTCCACCACAACTTGCCTTCTAATTTCATTTAAGTCTCTGCTCTGATGAGATCGAAGAGAGGCCTTCTCTGACCATTCTCTCATTACTGCCCATCCCCCAGCAATGTTTTACTTTTCTTCGAAGCCTTCTCATTGCTTAGCAGTATATTAGATATTTATTTGTTTGCTTCTGTGCCTTCCCTACTAGAACATAAGCTCTCTGGGGATAGGGATCTGTCTGTCGTAGGCACTCTTTTGATCCCAGCTACTAAAATAGTACCTGATACATAATAGGTGTTCAAATATTTAATAAATGAGTTCCATGTTGCCTCATTCATGTCTGATTAGTCACAAATATTTTTATCAATAGCATTGATTAGGAAAAATAATAATGATTTCTTTTATTTTTAACAGAATGGGGTTTCTGTTGAACCAGTCTGGTCACCATCATGCCCATTCCCACTCCCTGCCTCCAAATTCTCCTACCACAGGTTCTGTATGTGGACACAACCATGGGCAGGACAGCTTGGCAGTGAGAGCTGCATTTGTACATGCTTTGGGAGATTTGGTACAAAGTGTTGGTGTGCTAATAGCTGCCTACATCATACGATTCAAGGTACTATGATTGCTAATTTTTCTATTTTAAATACATTTAATTTCAACATTAAATTACAACTGATTGTGTTTTATCAATATACTGGACTCCAGTGCCACTTCTGTTCATTTTGCATTACTGCAAGTCTAACTGAGCCACCAGTCTATATAGCTCTTTTGTTGGTACTGCACACAATGGCATCCCATCACGAGGTAACTTATCTGTAGCTGGCTTTGGTAGTGCCCCCACTGGAGAACTCAATTTCAAGCCTTGTTACCCACTGCCAGGTTCTGGAGTGTGCATGCAGTGACAGCCAGAGATGTGGGTTCTAGTGTTGGCTCTGCAATTAATGCTTTGACCTTGAGCAAGTCCCTCAACTCTAAATTTGAGTTTCCTCCTCTTTAACATGAAGAGCTTAAATCTGATTGATGACTACTAAAACTCCTAACCCTGATATTCTGTGGTTCTGGATGGAAGGCTTAGAGAAGGCATGGAGGAAATAACAGAACAAACCATTAAATTTCTTAAAATAGATCCCATGAGGAAAGACATTTAAACAACCCAGGAAAGAGTTTCTCAAATGCAGTGTCCAAGTTTTAAAGGTATTCTGCAGTCCTGCTAAAGAACAGGGGACAGAGTATGCCTTACTTTGCTTTACAGTCTGTTTTATGTCTCTCAGTATTTAATCACACAATTTTGATCTGTCACCTCACAGCCAGAATACAAGATTGCTGATCCTATATGCACCTATGTGTTTTCATTACTTGTGGCTTTTACAACATTTCGCATCATATGGGACACAGTAGTTATAATACTAGAAGGTAAGATCTCACTGATATCCCCATTCTGGATGTATCACTTCCCTAAGTCAGATTGGGGGTCGGAGAGATACTCTGCAATAGGAGTAGTGTCTTGTCTTTTTTCACTGATACTAGGCTGTAGTAACACCATCTTACATGTATGTAACATATAAGAATTCATGCACTCTCCCATATGTTACCCATTTGATCCTTATAATAGCTAAGAAAAGTAGGTAAGGCAGACATGATTATCCTCCTTTACCAACAAGAAAATTGAGGTTCAGAGGGGTAGCATAACTTGTTAAGGCCATGCTGCTAGTAAACTGTGGAGCTGGGACAAGAATGCAACTTTTTTTATTTTAATTTTTTTATTATTATTTATTTTTATCCTCACCCAAGGACATTTTTCCATTTTTTTGTTCAGATAGAGTGGGAGGGAGACAGAGGAAGAGAGAGAGAGAGAGAAACATAGATGTGAAAGGGACACATAGAGTGGCTGCCACCCACATGACCAACCAGGGCCGGGGACAAACTGCAACTGAGGTACGCGCCCTTAGCGGGAACCAAACCCAGGTGTCTCTGGACCGCAGGCTGAGGCTCTAACCACTGAGCCAAATCGGCCAGGGCAAATCTTAATGCAAGTGTGTTTAGTGGTTTATTTATTAATTTTTTTTATTTCAATTTAACTTACTACTCTTATTTTCAGCATCCCTGCCTTCCTAATATTACGTATAAGCTTGTAAATATAAGTTCTCAATAGTATATTAGTCATCATTGGATATTCTTTTTTTTTCTTTGTCTATCCTAGGTTATTTGTTAAATGAAGTATATTGAGCTGATTAACATTCCTTTTTAGTGAGAATGAACATTTTTAAAGTATTTATTAACTTTTTGGGTATGTGCTGCTATATGTGTGCATAGTTTATCTTAAAGTATTAATATATTTTAAAGTGTTCGTTTAAAATGAATTTAGCAAAGCCAGTTGGTTTTGTTTTTTAAGAAAGAAAAAAAAAGTCCTACCAGTAATATATAAGTTTTTTCCCCAAAAGAAACTTTACTTATAAAGGATATATTCTGAACTAATAGGTGTACCAAGGCATTTGAATGTAGACTATATCAAAGAAGCCTTGATGAAGATAGAAGACGTCCATTCAGTGGAAGATTTAAATGTCTGGTCTCTCACTTCAGGAAAACCCATGGCCATTGCACACATACAGCTAAGTATGTCACGCTGATGGTAAACACTGAGGTTGCTGGACTTCTGTCATTATAACTAAACATTTGTGCTTATAATTAAGTAGGAGGACTTTTGTGCTGCAAACATTTGTTTTTAGGGAGGTGTGGGCTCTTCAGAAGGTGAGTTGCAGGTCCATATTTTTAGCAGAGCAGTAAATCTCTTTGAGATGAAATATTATACAATTTTGCCTTCATATTAAAGGCATAAGTATATTTACTATGATTTTTCTATATAAGAAAAGCTAGAGCCTATGTTTTTATTTCTTTAAATCATTTCAAGGATTGATGCTTTTAATTTTTTTAGTTTTTATCAAAATAGTATATGAATGAGGTTTATAGAAATAAAAGTACAGAAGATGAGAAATTTGTAATTGATGTCTAGATTTCTTTCTCTACCTGAGAGTGGACTACAGAGATTGGGATAATGAGAAGTCAGTCTGGCTTTGCAAACTGACACACTTCTCTAACAGAATAGCTTCAAGAGAGTAGAAATCAAACTAGTGAAAATATGATCACAGTATACTAAGGTTGTGTTTTCCCTGTGTCTTATTCATTAATGTGTAATGCACAATGAAGAGTAATAATATTTTCTTGACATTGCAGTTCCTGGAAGTTCCTCTAAGTGGGAAGACGTACAGTCCAAAGCCAAGCATTTGTTATTGAACACATTTGGCATGTATAAATGTACTATTCAACTTCAGAGTTACAGGCAAGAAGTGGACAGAACTTGTGCAAATTGTCAGAGTTCAAGTTCCTAATTTTATATGTTTGGGGGACTACTGCCTTAGTTACCCTGCAGTTACAGACTTGAGAGCAATAAATGCACATCTAAACAAGAGAATGGAATTCCTGACAGCTGTGTCTGTATCTCACACTGGTCTTGCAGTCAGTCTGAGAGGGCTAGTTTCTGTCGAGTGCTAAAATGAGACTTCATGGTTTTCAGATGAAGATGTTTCCCAAACAGTGTTTACAGAACGAGACGTGACTCTACAGATACCTCAGAAGACAATCCAAGACCGTAATTCACTGATCACAACAGTATGTGTCAGAAAGGAAGCATCAAGAGTTCTATGTTTGCATTTAGAAGTCCTTTTTAAAGCCCATTTTATATCAAGCTAGTGCTGGAAAACTGATTTTTTAAAATATAATCTTGACACCCAACTTCCGGAATTTGACACCCAGTTCTCTTTTTACAGAAATTATTTCTCAACAGATTTCAGAAAGTACTAGTAATTATCCAGAGTGGAATAAGCATGTATTGCTAAGTGTTTCAGGAATGTTTTATTTCACAAATAAGTCTTAATGTTATTGTTAATACTTTATGAACAACTTTTGCCAGATGTTACAGGGTTTTGCATCTCAAAGGTAACACTTTTGGCTATTTGTAATCATATCAGAACCAAATCTTTACATATTGTGGTCATTGTCATTAAATTGCTTAGGAAATATTTTTAGTATTATTCCGAATGGCAGAAGTTTATGTTAAACTGGTATTACTGTATGATCATTTAAACAAAACATAGGAGCAAGGATGAGATGTAGAGTTTCAGATGTAAGTCTTCCTGAAATCACTTTTATTGTTCATGGAATTTACCTTAACAACAGCAAATGACTGCAAAGGTGAACAATGATGCTCTGTCCTTTTAAGAACTGCCTTATGTTTTGGTATCTTGCTTCCTGCCTCCATACCAGTTAATCTGTGTGTGCCTTTCAGGTAGAACTCTGGAGGGCCACGGTCCCATTTGGAATACTCACCTCACACATGTAGACTAACATTTCTCCAAAGGGAATTTGTTTGATGGTATGGGTTAGGAATTCTCCATGACTCCAGAAACCCTAAGATACAATTTTGAGGTTTTCTAATAATACCATACCTGAAATGTTGAAAGGAATTGGGGAAAATATTACTCTGAGAAAACAAACATTTTAAGGGTTTTTTACTGTGTGTGTGTGTGTGTGTGTGTGTGTAAGCACTGGAAGAGGGTGGACATTAAATCTGTGTGGTAGGGAGGTTAAGCATAAAAGTTTCTAAACAGAAGGTAACCTTATTGGTAACCGTTGTATTAAAAAGGCAATTGTGAATATTCATGTCAACTATTGGTTTTGAGATTATCTTTATACACGTTAGGAGTGCATTTTCAGCAGAGAATCAGAGTAAACTAACATGTACCAGACAGGCTGTGAGATAAAATCCTAGATAGGCAGGCAGATGACTTAAAATATAAGTGAAGAATATGAAACAAATTTCATCTTTCTACCAAGTACTTCACCACAAGTAAACCTAAGCTAAAAACTGGATTTAGCCAAAAGAGTATTAAGAGTTGATGGTTTCCAACAAAAAGATTAATAAGGCTACCTAATAAAGCCCAGAATTTGTTGAATTGAAAATTTTATGGGATTCTTATTATGAATCCATTTAAAATAATGATTTGAATTTTTCAAAAATTTCAGGAGCATATAAACTGTTTAAATAAAAAATATTCTTTTTATTGTATATTATCCTGTATTTTTAAAAAATACTCTTAAATATAGAAGGCAAGTAAGAATAAATGAGAAGCATGTCAGTGCACACCTGGGCATTTATGCACTTTGTGTACCTAGCAAGAGAAAGGAAGAGAATATATAAACATTATGTACCTAATGGATTTTCCCATATTTGCTGTTGTTTTCCACATCTACTGAGCTTGTTTCTTGTAAACTTACTTTTATCTTAAATAGGTGTATCTAACTTTTCACATCGAACTGTTCCTTGACAAGTTATTGGGTAAAACAATCTAAAATCCATTTGAGGATTGACAAGGATCCTTTTGTAAAATGCAGAAACACTGTAAACTTTTATTAATCTTTATTATGTTTAAAATTAGGTACACATGAAGTTTTCTGTGCTTTGTGAGGGTGTGTGTGTGTGTGTGTGTGTGTGTGTGTGTGTGTATGTCAAGAACTACAGATTTTGTACTTGTACTTTACTGGGTCTGTGAGATTTGATAATTTATAGGTTTAACTCTTTGTAACTTGACAAAACCATGGAGAAGGATGTGAACTTGGCAGATGTGAGCAGGGACTGCACAGCTTCTGACACAGTTTGGTCTGTGCTTCGCCCCGGGTACAGGCGACAGCACTGCTGCATGGCCAGCTCTCAGGGAGCGTCCGGTGTCCTGCGGAAAACAAGGCTGAGCACTTACCATTGTTCACTTTGCACTGGGAAAACACGTCATAACATAAAAACTGGGCCATTCTTCAGTGCCGTATGTTTTAATTAATGTTAGCAAATAATCAAAGTCAGTTGTGTACATAAACCTGTGTTTCATAAGTCTGGCCGGACTGGCCTTTTGATTTATTTTAGGAAAAGGCCTATTGTTTCATTAATGACCGTGCTGCCTTAGAAATAGAATGTGGGGAATGTAGTTGGATAAGGCATATTTTAGAGAGCTTTGAAATGCAGAACCGGAGTGACTATAATTCCCACATACATTTTCCATTGGCTGTGGAATGCGAGCCCAGGTTTTCGCAACTGGCGGCTCCCATCAGTATTATTTGCCAACTCCCTAAATCTCTTATTTTTCTGTTTCTTTTTCAACTCTGGATGCTATATTTCCATTTTCTGAAATGAAGTTTCCTACTCTTAGGAGTCTCAGTGTTCTGGTTCTGTCTCTTGAACCCAGAGGTCCTCCCTGACAGTGTTTATCTTTGGTAGAATTTTCCCAGAATAGACATAGATATGAGCTTCCCTTTCATTTTAATGTAAGGAAAAAACATCTTTCAGAGACAAAGCTCCACTTTAAAGGTGTCTCTAGGTAGGAAAAACCTTTTTTCAACAGCAGATTGTCCTGATTCAGATTCTCTGCACACTGACCACTGCAGCCACAAGTGAAGGTCATTGCTAACAGGCTGGGCTGTGCTTCTCGAGTAACCACATCCACTACTTTGCAAGAGAGAATCATTCACTTCTGAAACTAGCACACTAGCTGAATTTATTTTCTTTTTATGCATTTATATTAACTGGTTCATCATAAGGAATAAGGCATTCTTACAGAATCTGAGCCTCTTTAATGTAAGGTTCTAGGCAATTTTTCTGTTGACTATACCCGATATAACAGTAAATTTAAAGTTACAGAATATGTTAGTAGGGATTAGTTCGTTTGCTTCTGTTTGTCTTTGAACCACACTTAGTTCATGAGCCATCTGGGTATTAGTCACAAATGTGTATGCTGTGTTGAGGGGAGGCAGATCTGATCTCCAAGTAACTGATTAAGCTTAATATCTTTCTAACCAAAATGCCATTTGCAAACCCTAACTACAGATGTGAATCCCACCGAGCAGGGCTTCAGATTGGTTTTACATGTCACCAATCAGGGGAAATATTTGTGGGGTTGGTAGGAGCACAGGAGTTGGAGAGAAGAACTTGTGGGGGCTCCCCAGCACTGAATGTGTGTGTGCACCCAGGCCAGCTTGTCACTGGATCCCGGCTGACAGTGGGTCCACCTGCTCTAATCATATTGTGAGGACCAACAAATAGTTTCTGATTTTTGGTAAGATTGAGAACATTTATGGAGACTTTCTCTGACAGTGTCAATTTAATACTGCAATTACATATTTTCTGAAATAACTGTGACAGAAATTTGGAATGTGCCAGTGTGTCCGCTTTGCACCTGGAAAGCTTGCGCTTCTCTAAATAAATATTAAGTAAGCCATATCACAGTTCAAGAAATTGTATATACTTTTCCAAATACCCCTTCAGAAACCAGTATTTTGCATATGATTGATTTTAGAAAGATTTTGAAGCTGGTGTTTGTCCATGTAATTTAAAATCAAAGTATAGTATATGTACTGTATTTGCAATTTTTAAATTGTGATTTCCTATACATTTATTAAATAAAGTATTGTTTTGCCATGTGTTTATTAAAAAATGAAAATGTACAGTTCCTTAAATTTTGGGGTTTTTTTGTTGATTAAGTAATAGTAGTAAGCCTTAAAACGATCTTTGTAAAAAGATAAACTGAACCTCGTGAACACAAACAGCAGTGTGGTGATTGCCAGAGGGAGGGGGAGGGGTGGGGGTGAAGGGGGCCTAATACACGGTGATGGAAAATGATTGGACTTTGCGTGGTGGACACACAGTGCAGTATACGGATCTTGTAACAGAAACACACCTGAAACATACGATCATATTAACCAATGTCACCCCAATAAATTTAATTTTTTTTAAAAAAGGCATTGGAAAATAGATTATAACCTATGTAGTTTTATCATCTCAGATTGTAATGATTTTTTAGCTGTTTAAGAAATAAGCCTGGCCCTGGCTGGTTTGGTTCAGCGGTTAGAGCGTCGGCCTGTGGTCCTGAGAGACCCGGGTTCGGTTCCCGCTAAGGGCATGTACCTCGGTTGCAGTTTGTCTCCGGCCCTGGTCGGTTGCGCGGGTGGCAGCCACTCGATGTGTTCATTTCACGTCAATGTTTCTCTCTCTCTCTGTGTTCCTCTCTCTCCCTCCCACTCTACCTGAACAAAAAATGGAAAAATGTCCTCGGGTGAGGATAAAAAAAAAAAAAAAAGAAAGAAAGAAGCCTGAAAAAAATCTTCCAGATAGGATAAAAAGAGATATCAAAAGAACCTCCATCTTTGTATATCAGTCATGTTTAACGTGTCCCTCCAGCCCCAAAAACAATGTCAGAAAGGAAAGAAAGAAAGAAGCCCCTGAGAAAGTTAGACTGGTGAGGCCCTTTGGGAAGTGGGAGAGTAAAGACCTAGTGACTGTCCAGGAGTGTGGAGGGGGGTCAGCAAACCACGCCTCACTGGCCAGGCCTGGCCTGAAGCCTGCTTGTGTGGCCCAAAGAACAGAATGGTTTTTAAAACTCAGAATAATAATCTTTAATGATGTTAAAAATCTATGAACTTTAAATTTCAGTGTCTGTAAATCAGGTGTTACTTAAACAGCCACACTCATTCAAGTATGTATATTGTCTAGCTGCTTTCATTCTGAAGTTGAGAAGTTACAACAACTATAAAACATGTCCCATCTGTCCCTTCACAGGAAAAGTTTGCCTACCCCTGGTGCTCCCTGTTGTACCATTTAAGGTTAGGGCAGCACTGGTGGATGCAGTGAGTCCTTCTAGTGCCCACTTAGAAGTTGCTGACACTGGATCCGAGGCTACCTGACTTACCAAAGGTTCTTTTCTTCCCTTGACCTATTTTCTTGTCTCCATCCCCCTTGGAGTACGGGGCAGAAATAAAACGAGCAGCAGTTTCAGATATTACCTTCGTACCATATGCTGTATCTAACGTGCACTAGCAAAGCAGTTTTCTACCCAGAACAAAATGATTACAAGAATCATTTAAAATACTTTAGCTTTATTCACTTGATTTTTTTTCACTGACGTTATGACAAAAATAAAGGAAATAAAAATGTGTGTATGCTGAGGACTTTATGTAGTTTGCGCCACCTGAAAGCTCACAAATGAAAAGTAACATATCTGCTAAATAAGATGGAAGTTGGTTGTGAGGTTGTTAAAATAATGTTATTTAGCCCTGGCCAATTTGGCTCAGCAGTTAGAGCGTTGGCCCACGGTCCTGAGAGACCCGGGTTTGATTCCCGCTAAGGGCACGTCCTCGGTTGCAGTTTGTCCCTGGCCCCGGGGTTGGGGTTTTACGGGAGGCAGCCACTGGATGTGTCCCTTTCATGTCGATGTTTCTCTCTCCCTCCCACTCTGAGCAAAAAAGGAAAAATGTCCTCGGGTGAGGATAAAAAATAAAAATAAGTAAAATAATGTTTTTTAAAGTTTTCCATTTACCTAGGAAAAGACTTAATTGTTTTTTTTTAAATAATAAAATAAAATTTTAGATAAGTTATATAGTAAATAAAGAGGTGTTATATATTGTTTATATACCTAGCTATATTTCTATTTTGATGCATCATTTTTTTTTTTTTTTTTTTTGGTCCATGCCAGATGCTCAAATCAATTCTAATTCGGGGTAACAGACTTGCAAGCTCTTGTTTATACTAAACTTTCAGCTTTATTTAATATATTAGTAGAATTGTGTTTTTTGTTATAATGCAGTTGCAACTATGATCTATTATAATGCTATAAGCTGTACAATAGACTAGGCTACATTTAAACAGGAAGTATGACGCCTTATGACTAAATGTAGAGATGATAATCTCTACATTAATCATGTGTTTAAGATTAGGAGGCTTAAAAATCCAGCTCAATGAAATATCACCAAAGATCTCATCATTTTCAAGCAGCATTCTGGTTTAAGGCTCTCATGTGACTTTTAAAGAACATAAAGTTTGGCCTATGAGTGTTACCCAATAAACACAAAGATCACACTCTGTAAGTTATCCAAGATCTTTATGTCTCCTGTCCTCAACTTTCCAAAAACACATGCTGGTTAGACTCAAATTCCTATTGTCTGTGTTTCACTTGCCAATTTCTACATATTGGTTTGTGGGTGGTGGTGGTTTTTAAAAACTTTTGTTCACTTTAACAAAATGCTGACACTACTATGGGAAAAATGTGTTTGGTTTTTCTCCCAAAATATATCGAGCAGTTTCTTAGTAGGAAAGTCGGATTTTTTTTTCTTTAAGTAGGAATTTTTTTAGAGACCTCATGAAAGCAAGGCCAGTCCTAGAACAAGACAGACACCTCTGTCTGGGACTGAATATCTGACCCCACCTTCCTCTTTCATCTTTGCCCTACTTCCTTTCCAGGGAAACCTGCTAATAGTAAATGGTTACAGGGACATTTGCCTCTAAACAGTGATTACAGTGAACGTTTGACCTCAGCCAAGGCATGAAGAAGCGTAGTGAAGACAAGAGCTTCCTGGCCCTCCATTCATTAATCTGTCGTGTTCATCCATGAAAGCTACAGGGCAAAGCCTAGTTCTACAGGCTCTTAATCAATTACAGCTTGACTGGAGTTTCTAATCAGAACACAGCCTATCCCATCCTCTCTTTGCTTTTTTATGTAAGAATATTTTCCAAAGTCCAGGTCATTTTTAAACTCCTCAGAAAAAAATATTATAGAATTTATAATGTTTAGCCATTGTTTTTATAGATATAGATATAGATATATAGATATAGATATAGATATAGATATAGATATAGATAGATAGATTTTAGAATCACTCTCATCTTTAAGACACCATGATACTGAAATTGGGACATCTCAAAAACTTGGTTCAATGATTGGAAATGATTTTCTCTAAAGCAGATTGAGACTACTTCCAAATGCCATCCATTTTATTCAACCAGTAATTGATCTTTGAAGGCCACCTCCCTTCCACTGAACATGTTATGGAATAAAACACAAAATTCCTATGTCTTTTTAAAATTAAACGGAATGAAACAATATTATGTTTTGGGGACATCTTGGGCTATACCCTCACCCCTGCAGACAGAAGATCACACTCCCATTAGGAGTCGCTTGAGAAACTGGAGCTATAGGATAAAATTCATCCTGCCTCCCATGTATCAGCCATACCAAACAACGGTCAACTTTTGGTTTATAGGGGAAATAATTTTAACATATATTGACCCCTTACTGTATTTTAGACAATGTGATGTGCACTTTATATGTATTATTTAATCTCATGATGGTACTTTGAAGAATATTATAATCTTCATTTTGCAAATGAAGGAACAGACCAGAAGCTGAGTGGCTTGTCCAAGGTCATACAGGTCAAGTCGTATCACAGGAATACAGACAACTCTTAAATATAGCTAGTAAAACTAGTAAACATGTTAATACAAAAGGGATTCAGTGTAGAGTAATGTAGTTAAAATCACAACCAAGCTTTAGATAACAGATGTGTCAAAGTAATGGAAGTATAATAGTTTAGGAGCATTCGACTTTATATAATTACATGCATGCTTGGTGAAAAAGTAGCAAAAGTTTACTGTTTTTTAATTGAGGCACCAGAATAGTACTCTGGATTTCACTACCACCTTCTAGCCAAACTATCTCCCCTAAGGTCCCTGGTGCTCTTCTAAAAGCCCCCGAACATGTGTCAGCCCTGTAATTCGTTATTCCCTGTGGAGATCATTCAAAGCGGGAAAACGTCTCCACAGAATGTGTGCACAGGGCAAGAATTCTCAGGGCGAAGAAAGGGAGGCAGACTCCTTGGGGGGAGAATCTGAAATATTTTGCAGCCCACACCTGCTTTTCTCCTTTTCTGAGTTTGTCTTCTTTCTACACTCTTGCCTGTATTCTCCTGGTTAGGAAACCCACTTTATCTTTCTTTTAACTTTTTTATTTTTTGCTTTACAACTGAAGTGTTAAGTATGTTTTTTAAGGGCCCAAATAAAATATAAGTTAATATAACATAAACATAACCACCCAGGTCAAGAAATATAACATTTCCAGCGCCATAAGGCCTTCTCGTGTCAGGTCCCATCTCTGCCTCAGATAATGATGAACGGTTGTTCAGTGTTGTATCAATTTGCGCTCTCCCCAGCAGTATATGAGAGTACCTGTCCCCCCACCCCCACTTTTGCCACCTTGGCATTGTCAGTTTTTAATTTTAACCACTCAGGACAGTAGTATGTGGTGGTGGCTCGTTGTGGTTTAAATCTGCAATTCCCTGATGAAAATTTAAGTGAAGTGAAAGAATCTCCCTAGTGGTAAAATCTGAATTACCTGAGACTGTCCTTCTCTTTTCCTCCCCTGAGTTTCTAAGAATAAAAAGTTGACCATCTTTCATAAAGTCATTGTCCACTGTATATCCTCTATTACTTAGTGCCCTTTAAGTCTCCTTGCTCGTTTTTCTATTGAATTTTATTTATTGATTGAT